CACAGCAGGCCTGGCATATTCTCGACACCATAGGGGGTGCGCAGGGGGTGGTCTCTCACCGCGGCCGCTATCCGTGCCGGTCGTCCAGGGCACAGCAGGCATGGCATATTCTCGACACCATAAAGGGGTGCGCAGGGGGTGGTCTCTCACCGCGGCCGCTATCCGTGCCGGTCGTCCAGGGCACAGCAGGCATGGCATATTCTCGACAGCGTAGGGGGTGCGCAGGGGGTGGTCTCTCACCGCGGCCGCTATCCGTGACGGTCGCCCAGGCACAGCAGGCATGGCATATTCTCGACACCATAGGGGATGCGCAGGGGGTGGTCTCTCACCGCGGCCGCTATCCGTGACGGTCGTCCAGGGCACAGCAGGCATGGCATATTCTCGACACCATAAGGGGGTGCGCAGGGGGTGGTCTTTCACCGCGGCCGCTATCCATGACGGTCGTCCAGGGCACAGCGGTATCGGCGGGGCAACCGCCACCAACATCATTCTCACATGCTTCACTTCAGCTCTCATCTCTCCAGCCATCATATAAGTATGTGGGGTTCCTCGGTAGCGTAATTGGTGACTTTGTTGGAGTTATCTGGTGTTTTCGAGTATTTTTGAAGTTCCTTCCCAAATCCGCCTGTAGGAGGACATGCCCGACCTAAGCGTAGCTTGCCCACGCCTCGCCCCCCTCTTCGCCGCGGCAGGCCCGGCTCAACCCGATGAACCTGCTGACGGCGGCCACCGAGGGCACCGCCGGCTTCCTGGGCGCCCACGTGCGGCCCAGGCCGCCGCAGGGGAGGGCAGCCATTCGAGCGGCGATGGCAAACAAATACATAAGCAAAAACAAAAGCAACAACAAACGAACAAATAATACAAACAAAACGTTCGAGCGGCGATGGCGCCTCCCCTCCCCCTCCCCGCTCGGCGGTTCGAAGATGGAGCCCTGAGGGAAGGGGCCCAAGGTTGAACTGACATTGTCTGAGGCCCCTCGCCCTCAGGCCCCCATCCCTCAGGGCTCCATCTCCGAGCAGCCGACCCGCAGCGTTCCCCCTCGAGGTAGAGCTTCTGAGGCCTTTCGCCCCCCGCCGGGGTGAGTGGAAGGAGGAGTTCCTCAGGAGGAGGAGGAGGATAATAATAATCAGACTAATAGTAACAAGCAGACGAATAAAACAACATCGCAATAAGAGGAATAATACGAAGAAACGTATTCGTAATATTATTAAGCAGTAGTGGTAATACTCATACGAATAATAATAATCATAATCAGACACATGCTAAGGATACGGAGAATAAGAAAATTACTATCACTACTGATACTACTATTAAAGCTAAGAGTAAGAATATATGATATTATGAACAAGAAGGCTATTCTTACAAGCTATACTACTAGTAGTAAGAACACTACTAGTAGTACTACTTGTAATACTAGCACTACTAGTAATATTAATACTACTGATCTTACAATTAACCAGACTAATAGTAGTAAAACTAAGAACACCATGACTACTAAGACTACTAAGCAAACTCAGAAGAATACGAATAAAACTAAGAGGAGGAAGAGGAGGAGGGATGAGGAGGAGGAGGAGAAGGAGCAGGAGGAGGGGGAGGAGGAGGAAGAAGAAGTGAGAGGAGGAGGAGGAGGAGGAGGAGGAGGAGGAGGATGGAGTGGAAAAGAGAGGAGAAAGAGGAGATGATAAGAGAGGAGTGGGAGGAGAGGGAGGAAACGGAGGAGAACGGAGGAGACGGAGGAGAGGGAGGAGAGGGAGGAAGGATGAGGAGCAGAAGGGAGAGAGGGAGTAGAACGGAGAGAGAGGGAGCCGAGGGAGGAGAGGGTGGAGAGGGAGGAGAGAGGAGAGTGAGGAGAGGAGGAGAGGGATAGTAGGGAGGAGAGGGAGGAGAGGGAGGAGAGGGAGCAGGAAGGGAGGAGAGGGAGGAAGGGAGAGAGGGTAGGAGAGGAGGAGAGGGAGAGGAGGGAGAGGGGGAGAGAAGGAGAGAGGGAGAGAGTGGTGAGGAGGGAGAGGAGGGAGAAGGAGGAGAGAGGAGGGAGGGAGGGAGAGTGAGGAGGGAGGGAGGGAGGAGGAGGGAGGATGGAGGAGGGAGGAGGGAGGCGGAGGAGTGGAGGTGGAGGAGGAGGAAGAGGAAAGGGAGGAGGAGGAGGAGGGAGAGGAGGAGGAAGTAGGAGGAGGAGGAGGAAGAGGAGGAGGTGGAGGAAGGGAGGAAGAGGGAGGAGGAGGAGAGGAGGAGGAGGTGCTCGTCGAAGTTCGGGCCCTGGATCTCTCCGCCCTGCTCTGGCCGCCCCTGGGCGCCCCCTCGCTGCCACGGCCGAACACTCCGCTCGGGATCCTGGCCAGAGCACACGCCCAAGGCGAGGCCTCGCGGCGTATCTTCGAGGAGGAGGAGGAGGAGCAGGAGCAGGCGGAGGAGGAGGAGGAGGAGGAGGAGGAGGAGGAGGAGGAGGAGGAGGAGCAGGAGCAGGAGGAGGAGGAGGAGGAGAAGAGGAGGAGGAGGAGGAGGAGGAGGAGGACCCAGACCCAGACCCGAAGGCAAAACACCCATAACATTTCGACAGCACAGCTTTCGGTCTTCGGCGGATTTCGGTTTTGGGGGGCTGCCGGGGCGCAGGATGCAGGAGGAGTTCAGGGTAATGATCTGGAAGTGGAGCAGGAGCAGCAGGAGGTGGAGGAGGAGCAGGAGGAGTAGCAGGAGGATGAATGAAGTGCAGAAGCAGCACTTGGAAAACGAGGAGGAGGAGGAGGAGGAGGAGAAGGGAGTATGATGATGAGGAGGAGGAGGAAGAGGAGGAGGAGGAGGAGGAGGAGGAGGAGGAGGAGGAGGAGGAGCAGGAACAGGAGCAGGAGGAGGAGGAGGAGGAAGTATGGCTGCGTCGGTACGACCCAGAAGCCAACAGCAATAACAACAGGATGGGGAGGAGACGGATTTCTGCCGTGGCTCCTTGCAGGCGCTCGACGAGCGCGCGCGGCTCCGAGGCCGCCAGGTCCCCCGGACGCCCCAGCGCGACTGCCGCCTCCAGCAGAGGAGAGGACTTGCCGAGCGGTCAGAGCCCAGAAGACCGCCAGGAGCCCGCCTGTCCTGTCCGCCGTCTCGTCGTCGTCGTCGTCGTCGTCGCCCTCCTCCCCATCACCCTCCCTCTCCCGCTCCCCTTCCCCCTCTTACTCCTTCCGCTCCCTCCCCTCCCTCTCCCCCTCGTCGTCGTCGCCGACGCCGTTGTCGTCGTCGTCCTCCTCCTCCTCCTCCTCCTCGTATTGCTCCCACTTCTCCTCATCCTTCCCCTGCCCAGTTCTCCCCCTCGCCCGCCTTTTCCTCTCATTACCCTCCTTCCACCTCCACCTTCACCTCCACCTTTTCTTTTTCTTTCTTTCTTTTTCTTTTTCCCAACCCTCCTGCGTTGGGTTCTCGTTTGGAATAGAGCACTGCTCGCGCGTCTCCTTTCTTCCTTCCTTCCTTCCCGCCCCCCCCGTCCCTCTCTTCCCCCCTGCCTTCGCTCGTCGCTGCGTGCCAGCTGGGGGGCTGCGATCTGTGAAACTGTCGCCACTTTCGAGGCCTGCTGGGGGGCCCAGCACAGTGGGTACACACGGCGGATTGAAATTGGACCTCGCCATCCCTGGGGGGCTGCGATCTGTGAAACTGTCGCCACTTTCGAGGCCTGCTGGGGGGCCCAGCACAGTGGGTACACACGGCGGATTGAAATTGTACCTCGCCATCCCTGGGGGGCTGCGATCTGTGAAACTGTCGCCACTTTCGAGGCCTGCTGGGGGGCCCCGCACAGTGGGTACACACGGCGGATTCAAATTGGACCTCGCCATCCCTGGGGGGCTGCGATCTGTGAAACTGTCGCCACTTTCGAGGCCTGCTGGGGGGCCCAGCACAGTGACGCCACGGGCGGATTCAAATTAGACCTCGCCATCCCTGGGGGGCTGCGATCTGTGAAACTGTCGCCACTTTCGAGGCCTGCTGGGGGGCCCAGCACAGTGGGTACCACGGCGGATTCAAATTGGACCTCGCCATCCATGGGGGGGGCTGCGATCTGTGAAACTGTCGCCACTTTCGAGGCTGCTGGGGGGCCCAGCACAGTGGGTACACACGGCGGATTGAAATTGGACCTCGCCATCCCTGGGGGGCTGCGATCTGTGAAACTGTCGCCACTTTCGAGGCCTGCTGGGGGGCCCAGCACAGTGGTACCACGCGGCGGATTCAAATTAGACCTCGCCATCCCTGGGGGGCTGCGATCTGTGAAACTGTCGCCACTTTCGAGGCCTGCTGGGGGGCCCAGCACAGTGGGTACACACGGGCGGATTCAAATTGAGACCTCGCCATCCCTGGGGGGCTGCGATCTGTGAAACTGTCGCCACTTTCGAGGCCTGCTGGGGGGCCCAGCACAGTGGGTACACACGGCGGATTGAAATTGACCTCGCCATCCCTGGGGGGCTGCGATCTGTGAAACTGTCGCCACTTTCGAGGCCTGCTGGGGGGCCCAGCACAGTGGGTACACACGGCGGATTGAAATTGGACCTCGCCATCCCTGGGGGGCTGCGATCTGTGAAACTGTCGCCACTTTCGAGGCCTGCTGGGGGGCCCAGCACAGTGGGTACCACGGCGGACCCAAATTAGACCTCGCCATCCCTGGGGGGGCTGCGATCTGTGAAACTGTCGCCACTTTCGAGGCCTGCTGGGGGGCCCAGCACAGTGGGTGCACACCGCGGACTCAAATTGGACCTCGCCATCCCTGGGGGGTTGCGATCTGTGAAGCTGTCGTTTCTTTCGAGGCCTGCTGGGGGGCTCAACACAGTGGGTACCCACCGCGGAATGAAATTAGACCTCGCCATCCCTGGGGGGCTGCGATCTGTGAAGCTGTCGCCACTTTCGAGGCCTGCTGGGGAGCCCAGCACAGTGGGTACACACCGCGGACTGAAATTGCACCTCGCCATCCCTGGGGGGCTGCGATCTGTGAAACTGTCGCCACTTTCGAGGCCTGCTGGGGGGCCCAGCACAGTGGGTACACACGCGGACTCCAATTAGACCTCGCCATCCCTGGGGGGCTGCGATCTGTGAAACTGTCGCCACTTTCGAGGCCTGCTGAGGGGCCCAGCACAGTGGGTACACACCGCGGACTGAAATTAGACCTCGCCATCCCTGGGGGGCTGCGATCTGTGAAACTGCCGCCACTTTCGAGGCCTGCTTGGGGGCCCAGCACAGTGGGTACACACGGCGGATTGAAATTGGACCTCGCCATCCCTGGGGGGCTGCGATCTGTGAAACTGTCGCCACTTTCGAGGCCTGCTGGGGGGCCCAGCACAGTGGGTACACACCGCGGACTCCAATTAGACCTCGCCATCCCTGGGGGGCTGCGATCTGTGAAACTATCGCCACTTTCGAGGCCTGCTGGGGTGCCCAGCACAGTGGGCTTCCCGCACGTCTTTCTCCTGCTCTTCGTTCCCGACTCCCCATGTCCTCTTCGAGCCTGTAGTTGTCACCCCCCGTTCTTGTATGTTTCTCCTGCGCATCATGCCATAGGCGCGTGTCCCAAGTAGCTTACATATCAAACAACGGATCCTGCAATTTGATTGTCCATGCAAGTTTCGGCCAACTCCTCCTTTCCCATGATACAAATGGGTTGGGTACGTCACAGGGTGATTGTTATTGCTGTTGGCTTCTGGGTCGTACCGGCGCATCCATAGTTCCTCCTCCTCCTTCTCCTCCTTCTCCTCCACCTTCGTCTCCTCCTCCCCCTCCTCTTCCTCCTCCGCCTCCTCCTCTTCCTCCTCCGTCTCTCACCACTGCCACGTGGAACGCGATGGCGCTGCGTTCCAAACCAGGGCGGAGAAGGCGAAAGACAGGGCGAACTTCCTCGCCAAGGATTGAACATGTTTGAGAGCGCGACTCGATCAGCCTTTGAGGCTCCAGGAGGTGCAATACTCCTCCGTCCGCCTGGCCGAACTGCATCCGAGCTCGAGTCTTTCGTCGTTTTGCGAGGGTGAGCGAGAGGACTCTGGTGGGCCCGTTATTCTTTTTCCTTGCAAAGATCAAATGATGAGGATGATGATGATGATGATGATGTTACTGCTGCTGATGATGATGGTGGTGATGATGATGATGATGGTGGTGGTGGTAATGATGATGATGATGATGGTGGTGACGAAGCGTAATACGATGACCGTGCTGCTGCCACTGCTGTTGATGACGACGATGATGACGGTGATGACGATGCTGTCGATGACGATAACGATGACGATGGTGATGACGATGATGCTGCTGATGATGTTGATGATACTGATGGTGAAGAAGATGATGCTGCTGATGATGTTGATGACGACGATCATGATGATGGTGATGGTAATGATAATGCTGATACTGATGGCGAAGATGCTCATGTTGCTGTTGATAAGTATGATGATGCGGCTGCGGACAATGATGCTGATGCTGATGCTGCTGCTGCTGATGATGATGCGGATGATGATGATACTGCTGCTAATTGTGATTCTGATTACGTTGCTGATGATGTGGCTGATAAGGATGCATATCCCGACGACGATTATGTGGATCATTATGGATGGTGGTGATGCTGATGCTGCTGATGCTGCTGAGCATGATGCTGATGACGATGGCGATGGTGGTGATGATGATGGTGATGATAACGATGACGATGATGATGCTGATGATGATGCTGATGATGCTGATGATGCTGGTGATGCTGATGATGCTGATGATGCTGATGATGACGATGCCGATGACGACGATGATGGTCATGATGATTCTGATGCTGACGTTGATGCTGATGCTGATGCTGACGATGACGATGACGATGATGATGCTGCTGCTGATGATGATGATGATGGTGATGCTGATGATGATGTTGTTGTTGATGATGGGGTGCGGTGAGATAAGTCAGTACTAGTGTCTGGCAGGGTTATTCATATTCTTCGGTTCCGTGATGCCTCGGAGCCTGCTCGTTCGATCCTTGGAAAAATCGCTACCACGGTCTGTGCCGTCTTACTCAACGTCGGGCTCATAATGCGTTTGCCTCGGACTGCTCGAAGCGAAGTGGGGCACCATAACGTCCGTCGCGCTTGTCGTGGACGACTTCAACTTTGTTGAGAAGCTGGAGCACTGCCGTTTTGGCGATGCGGGTCCCCCACGCTCGGTGGCGATGGCTAGGCACCCGCAGGAGCAGCGGTGGCAGTGCTGCGTGGGGGACGCCGTGGTTGAGGTGGTGGCTCCCAAGGCGACTCACTGGCATGCTGGCCTCCAGTCGGCGGCGAGCGAGGGGGGGAAGTGAGAAGGAAAAGGCTTTCTCAGGCTGCGGCGGGACTTCTCAGAAACCTTCGCGCCTTCTGAGAGGTTTTTTTGTTCTGAGCTTCTCATAAGGCCGGGGGGCTGCCGTGCCTTCTGAGAAGGCCCGCCCCTTCTCACTTACCCCCCCTCACTCGCCGCCGATCCAGATTGCGACCAGGCAGGCCGCATCTTCCTGGGCGCCCCGTCCTGGCTGGCGGCGCAGCGCCCCCAGAGGTGCGAGGTCCTGGGTGAGCCCGAAGAGCTGCACAGGGACAACATCAGCGACCGTGCGCACGACCTGGTCTCGTCAGTGCGGTGTCCCCTGCCCGCGGGAGATCCTCGCAGGCATGCGCCGATCCAACACGAGAGAGTGACATCGCCGGCGCTCAAAGGAAAGTTGGCTCCGTGCGTCTCGGTGCTGGAGCTGCCATCGCGAGCTCTGCCCAACGTGTACTGGGTCGACGCGGGGGCCATGCAGGCGGCGGCGGCGGAGATCCTCGGTGCGCAGCGGCGTTGCGCGGCCTGGTCGGAGCGCTGCGCGGGGGTGATCTGCCAGCAGGTGGCGCGAGTGGTCGCGCGCCAGCATGCCCCACTGGCGGAGCGGCTCTCGGCCGGTCGGGCCGCTGGGCGTGGATGTGGCAGGTGGGGCTCTGTGACGCTGACGGGCCGCGCAGAGTGCCGCAGGCGATTCACCGAGGCGCACAGCCGCGAGTCCTGAGTCCCGAGCGAGTAGATTCGAGCCGAGCTGGGGGCAGGGGAGGAGGAGCTCCGAGCTTCTGACCATCGACGGCTCTTGGGGCAGCGTCTTGCCCTGCAACGCCGCGCTGCCCTGTGGTCGGCTCCGCCTCGTCGATACCTCGCGGCGGTGGAGCTCCCCGATGGCGGGCTCGCCCAGGCGCCGGCGGAGATCCAGGCGCCA